ACAAAGTATGAGTTGTTTAAATAATTAAAAAATTTTAATATATATAATTATTAATGCAATTCATATTTTGTAATGTTTTTCAATTTTTAATAATGTTATGACAAATTATACATCCTTCCTAGTCTACACGATAAAAAGAATAGTGAACTTGCTTCAGTCTCTTGAGATGAAAGATATTCATTAACTCTCATAAACAAAAATATATTCTATATATACTATTATCAAGACTTGTACTATTATATAAATTAATAAGTACATTTCTACATAATATTAGATTTTTTTTAAGTGTTTGAACTCAGAAAGAGTCATCATCATCCGTGTAATCATCTTTGTCTAGAATTTTCGAAATTTCTTCTTCGTGCTCGTCGACTTCATCTTCCAGCAAATGCGATTCTCCTTCCATAAATTTTGCGAATCTAAAAGTCACATCCATATTGCTAATCTTGATGATTTCTTATTGCATATTATATTAAATTTAACAAGTTGTAACCTTATCGGATCTTTCAGTTTCAAAACTGTCTTCCAAGGATTACATTCTGGACTGGAACAATAGTGTTGTAGTTCTTTCAAAGCTTTCCTAGTTTGCCGAATTCTTTCTTGGCGATAGTCATCTTCATCCAATAATTTCCGCTTTTCCGGAAACACGTTTCGCCTCATTTAAAAAAAGGAACAGTAATATATTACTTTTCTCGTTCTCGTGTGTTCAAAGTAAAGTTTAAAAATGGCATAAAAGTATAAAAGTTTAAAAATATATTTAAAAATCCTTTATATAGAAATAAGTATATTCGTACGTAATATATAATCCAATAATAGATAAAGATATTTCAATATCTACACAGATTAATAATGCGCTTGTAACATTTCTTATATATTTGTGAAATTTATGCAGTTTTAAATAAGATTAATAATAAGGATGAAATGCAACCTAAAAGAATACAATGCATTTTAAAAACTGAAAATACAAATGCTCAATGGATACATTATAGATTAGAGAAATTACTAAAAAATTATTTGAATACATTATGCTAGATAAAAGAATATAAAATATCTAGTAAAAGTTAGTAAGAAAACCCTGTAAAATGTATAACATACACATATAGTTGTGCATTATGCTTAAGATAAGTTTGTATATTATCTTAGTAGTTGATTCAGTATGTTGAAACATTGGCAACATATTCCACTTTATTGTATATTCAAATAATATTAATTATTTACAAAATCATTATGAAAGTGTAAGTTAGTAAAAGAAAAAACCAGTACAGTGTAAGCAGGAGAGTATGTGCGAGAGTATGTGCATAACGGATTTGAGTTTTATTCAAACAGATAATCTGAAAAATAGTGCATTATCACACAATTGCAGTTCTGTGCAACAATTATATCTGATTATAAACGACCAATAATATACGATGCTTACCAATACCTTCTTCCTCGCTCAAATGCTGCTTTCGGAAAATTATACAAAAGTATGAGTATAACGCAACATGAAAGGGATGCTTCATAGAAGTGACTGCTATAATAAACCAGCGCCAATCCTACAAGCTACACGAATATTTAAAAAATTATTTATAATAACGAATTAAGAGAGAAAATCATACAACGTAGCTTACCTGCAAAAACCATTGTATTATCTGTTTCGTTCTTGCATTGGTAACTGGACCGAAACGGTAGCAAATTACAAAACTAATCAGCGATGTAACAAGAACATACCACATTACCCATTCTCTATATTGTATCACAATTAGCTGCATGTTTTCCCATAACGTTTTCGCAATGAAAAGGCTCATCGATGCGGCAAATATTACGTACAACAGAAATACAACAACATTTTTATCAAGAATCATGTTAGAGTATTATTTTATCACTGAAGACCTACCGCCGCTGCTGCTGGAAGATTCGACTTTTTGATCATCCGATTTGTAGGCATAGATCACTTTCAGTATCAATAATTCATTGTAAAACGAAAAGCTTTCTACCAGGTCGGGGCATTTAAGCATATCAATTAGCGTTTGCAGCACTTCTACTTGTATCACCTTCTTGTCATTGGATAACCTGTGTAAGAGAACTTTAAACACTTTCCTAAAATATTAGACAATTGTTAAAATCGCCAGGATAACTATTAAAACACATTGCACGTTCGTATACTTACTTTTGTTGTTATTATGAGAGACAACGAGAGAACACGTTATTATTAAATAAATCGGCACAAAGGTTAGGCTCACTCTATCACTCTATTTACGGGCGCTCGTATAAGTCGGTAACGTCAGTCACGTCAGCCGTAGTGTCCCTAGAATAGAGAGTCCGGCCAATACATCTAGGGATGTGGAAAAATGGCGGATATCTGTTCGTTTTTGCTACACTTCTATAGTAAACTCAAACTGAAAGTGCAGTAAATGAATAGACACCGTACATGTGAACATAAAAAACGACAATTGGTTAGTCGTGACTAGGAAATTGTAATACAATATATTTCTCAATTAAAAAACGTTAAATGTAATTTCTTACTTTTTTATATGGATAAAATGAAAGATGTTATTTGTAATACGATAAAATGTTGTCATAAATTGCCAACGACAATAATGAAACGTATCATTTTATACAGAATGCGCATTTCATGTACAAAAAGGAAAGTATTGAGAAAAACATACGACAGTAAAACGATGGCGATGCATTCTATTTTATAATGTTTTATTTTACATTTTATTTTATTTTATATTTCATACTGCTTTATTTTACATTTTATTGTTTTGTAAAGTAGATATTTATAGTTTTTATACTTTTGTAAAGTAGATATTTATGTGTTATGACACTGATATATCCTTGGATGTATCTATAATATAATATAATAAATATAGCATCGAATACATCTTGTCTTCTATTATATTTCTGAATCCTTGTTTGAATGTGTATGCATTCGCGCGTCGTATTTTGATTGGTTCCGCCATTTTTCCTCATCCCATCAGAGACCCAATGAAAAGAGGTCTACGACTTTGCCGGACTCTCTATTCTAGGGACACTAGTCAGCCGCGCTTGCGAGCGCCACGCGCGGCAGATGACGTTCTTAACGCGAATTCACAACCGCGGACTTTGCAATGCAAGCAATATCTCCACACACGGGGTACGTAGGAGATAAAAACACTTTTATTATACAAATCGTACCCAAGCTATCGATTAAGCGCAGTCTCAAGTTCGTCGGATTAGCCGTTGTTGAGATCCGAAATTCCAAGGGCCCGTCAACTCGCGCACTCGCGTAAACTACACGGTCGGTCTCGCGCGCGTGGTCTAGCTTGTCACTTTAAAACTTTTCGCTTATACTTGGCGCGAGACACTAC